ATCCTCTGTGAGTTTAGTTAAGTTATTATTTGACTTTAAAGCGGTAGTATCATCGGCAAATAAAATAAAATCAGTAGTTATATCACCATTTGAGAAATCATTGATATAGATAAGAAATAGAATAGGGCCCAATACTCAGCCTTAGGCACAATTTAAAAAAAATTGGCAATTGGAATATCATAGCAGACTTAGGATTTGCAATTTTGCTCATGCTCATTCTCATTGTTTTAATGTTTTAATTTCATTTATTCATTTATTTTTTACTTACTGTGCTAATGGCCTGTACATTCATAAATTAGGACAACCTGTATATAAATAAAAATATTTATCAATATAGCCATGAAAAAAATCCTAGCATCAATTTTATTTAACATATGGTATAGTAATTGCATAGGTACTGCTAATTTATTAACACATTATTAGTCAATGAATAAAATAAAAAATATTCTGTATTAATCATATACCTACTTAATTTTCAGGTGCTCGTTTTATGCCTCTGGTTGTGCAGAAGAATCTGAGATGCTCTTATAATAACCAGGTAATAAAATCTCCCAAGTAAGTCAACAGGACTTTTTAAAGGTACAATTCGTATAACTTTGTTGGCCAACTGAAATTTTACCTGCCAGCGTCTTCAGAGTAACCCAGAAATGTGCTACGTTCCTTTTCACATATTTTAAGAAACCTACTCATATTGTACAGTTATAGTAATTTTTAAAAACAGAAATAGTAATGTGAACAAATTGTATTTATTGTATAATAATAATCATAACTGAAATAATGATATAAAATAGTAACTTTTTATTTATTGTTTTTTTTTCTTCACTGTGTTAACTACATATTTGATATATTTTTTTTATTCTGAACCTGAAAATGCAAAATAAAGAATGAAACAAATAAAGGTTATATTAAAAATAGTTTATTAAAATATTTTCTTAAAACTAACGGAAGACATCTTATCTTATACAACATAAAAATATTAAAGCTTCAATCACAAACAGATAAAAATCTGTAAAAAAAATGTACAATATTAAAACTACAGTATCACATCGACATTAGTCAAAAAAAAGTTGAGCAAAAACCATCACAAATGATTTAAAAATTAAGGCACTGGACATCACAGGGGGATCATTTCTTTCTGGAGCGAAAAAATGATTAAGCTTGGGCCCATCTGTCGCAGGGAGTTTGCAATTCAGGCGTCTGGTAATTGCAAATAGCGTTCTTGTCTCCTACGGAAGCGATGTCAGCATCAGGCCCCGAGATGGATGTCCAGAAGAAAGTACCCGCCTCTGTTCTCGCGAAGTGGACTGGGATGTATCTCTGACCTCTGTTAACGGGGAGGATGTCAATCTCACCATTGTCGTAGACTGGAACGGCAGAAAATTCCTCACAAGTGTCGATTTCCTCGAAAATCTCGTTTTCCAAGATTTCGTTGGCGATGTTGTCGCTTATTTCGTCCTCGTCTAAAAAGTAACTAGGCTGAGGATTTTTTCTAAACGTGTTTTTGTTGTTCTTCTTTAAGACGCACTTGATCAGCTTCTTGATCTGGTGAATGGTCGACTTGGCCTTCTTATCGTTGACCTTGTTGTCGTTAATGGAGTTGTTCGAAGAGACGATGTACTCGGCGTTGAAATTCATTTTGCGATATATTATCGGAAACTGTGCTGCTACTGGAGCGAAAGACACGAAAGTGAATGATTTTTGAGAGAGCCGTGTCCCAATATATAGTGCGACTGACGTCATGGACCCTTAGGATAAGGAAAGAGGGGTTCTACCCTCAACCTATGGCTGCGACGTATAGGGACAGGTGTGCACTTTTCGGTACAGCGAGTTTGAGAGGAGCGCCAGCATATGTCGAGGCGGCCGGCGCGACGGAGATGGGGCATACGTGTATAGGGTGTAGAAGATCCGTGAGAATCGCGATCTAGTACATGTTCCCACGATTTTACAAAGGCAGATGGTATACGTAGGGGTGTTTAAAAAGATTTTCGCTTATGTGTAAAGGTATACGGGGGAGGTATTAGGTATTGAATTTGACCCTTTTTACCTCTTCTACATATTCTAGACTTCTTCGATATTTGCCCACGTCAAATAGTAAAAGGGACTTTGAAAAGGTCCACAATCTTGTGTGTTTAATTTGTTTCAGATGCACGTGTAAAGCTGGGGTGCCCTCACAATGAGAAGCAGGTTGATTACGGTCAGTACTGTTGAATAATTTTCTTATGGTCCGATGTATCCCGTTTCATTGAGTAACGTGTGCTCTAAGGGTTGTTTTTCGGGTTGAGGAATCTTTACCTGATTTTTGCATTGGTTCTATTCATTAGACAGTTTTTGTATAAAAATGTGATACTGTGAAGTATTCTGTTACGGATTTAGGAATAACATTCTTTTGCGGGTGTATTTTTGACGAAGAAAACCTCGCAATACTTGTAACAACAGAGCGAGTTGGTGACGCCAAGGATGTTTACTCATTTTATATTCAAACGTGGGTGGAAAACTCGTTTTAAAAGAATTATTTGTATGGAAAATAAAATTCATTACTTCCTTATATTTAAATTTAACGTTTAGTATGTAATATGTTTTTATTTTAATAAATTTATTTATGTATGAACTAAACCCTGTTAGGAACCTGCCAAAATAAAAAAAGGAATAAAAGTTGTTACCTACTTATACATAATTAACATACCTATACATTAATGAAGTTATACATATACAAAAAATATTCGGACATATATATTTTTTTAAATAACCAATCTTTTAATATACAGAGTAAAAGTAGTTAAAAAAAATAATGGCGGTAAGTACAACTTCGTTTTCGACATGTATATTTTTATTTAAAATAACCAATTTTTCAATATACGTCGCTCTTCTGTACCTCAACCAATGGCAGAGTAAAAGTGGTTAAAAAAAATTAAAGGCGGTAGGTATAATTTCGTTTTTTTATTTTTGAAAAGTTATCTTTTAGTCAACGATAAAACAATTGTTCAAATCAATAACGGTACGATAAATTTAATGTTTTAAAAATTCCAATTTAGAAAAAACAATAGAACGTCGCATATGCGATTTCTAAGTATTTCTTTTATGGAATATGGAATATTATGCTTTTTTGTAATTTTAAAATATACAAGGTGTTTATAAAATAGGGTTCCAAACTTCTGCTGCGTTTATAACTCATTAAAATAAGCCAAAAAGTTCCTATTAACATGTGCCTTAAAACGCACCCTTATGAATTTTGTTCCAAATTTTTAGGACATATGGTAAATATATCAAAAAAACATAGGTTTCCTAGTTTAAAAAAATAGCGTTCTATTTGAGTAATTAAAACATTTTACCAAATTTGAACAAAAAAATTATGTAAACGCATCCAAATTGTTAATACTAAGGTTTAGAAATAAACAGTATAAATANGTTTATGTCCTAATTTATTTATTAAATGATCGGATCCTTCATAACTGCAATTTATTTGAAAAAAAAAAAACAGTTTTGTTTGAGCCCTTTTAAGGGCATATAACTTCTTAAGGATGCGTTTTAGGGCACATGTTAATAGGAACTTTTTGGCTTATTTTAATGAGTTATATACGCAGCAGTTTGGAACCCTATTTTAGAAACACCCTGTATATCATTTGATATTAACAATACTAATAAGTCATTACTTTGTGCCAATTTTTCTTTAATTACAGTCTAATTTGAATAATTTAATAGTAGCAACAGTGTCGATATGAATTAATTAGTCGAATTTAGAAAGCAAACACCATGATATGCTGTATGTCTCAAAAGATTAGATTAAATAAAGCGATTCTGTTTTTTTATATTCCGCACTTTTTAATATGAGGTTCGCATAGGTGGGAGATAAATTCTGCAAAACATCTTCAATTTTTTACACTTAATGTTCATTTGCTAGACCGATGAGGGATACACAGCAATGTGTAAGGAGTGATATATCGTTGGACTTTTAAAACTGATTTTGTGGTGTTTGATATTTTCTAGATTTTTCAAATGATTTTAAAGAAGTTCTGCAAATAACTTAAATTTAAGCAAATGTCAAAGAAAATTAATTACCAGGATATTCGTATTTAAAAGAGATAAAAAAGAGCGTGACGGCATATCCGGAACGTTACTAGCGTTACCTATGTGTGTGTCACGTCAGAAAGTGTAGAACAAAAAAATATAAGCGACCGGTCCCGGTAATTTGCAAACAAATAAAAGTCATAATAGAAGTCATGAATTTTGTTTCAAATTTTTAGGACATATAGTAAATATATACTTTCAAAATCACAAAAACATAGATTTCCTAGTTTAAAAAAATAGCGTTCTATTTGAGTAATTAAAACATTTTACCAAATTTGAACAAACAAATTATGTAAAAGCATCCAAATTGTTAATACTAGGGTTTAGAAAAAAACCGTATAAATAGTTCAACTCGAAAACTATAAAACAATATTTTTTTTAATAATGAACATAGTATACAGGATATAAAAAATGAAAGAGCGTTTTCCTCTTCAAAATTGAAAAATATTTTCTTATAAATATAAATACTTAAAGCGTTTTTGAGATACAGAGCGTCAAAGATACAAAAACAGATTCATTAGAATACAACAATTTTTAAGTGAGTAAATGGATAAATTAGAAAACCTATCGAAAAGAGGGTTGATTTGAACATGTATTGTAAAAAATAAATTCTCTGTTTATTCAAACATGTTATATTTACAAATTGTTTATTTGTAGTAAAATGGCAAAAGCTAAGCAAAAAAGTCAAAGGATCTTTTCGTTCCACAAATGATTTGGATATCAAATATTTATATCAGTGTTATATCATAATTTTTGAGGGAAATAGTATAAACAGCCACTGTTTTAAGAAGAAACCTGATCTTTTTTTAAGTAAAGTGCAATTTTATTTGGATTGTATTATGAACATAAAATTTCATTTCAGTTCATTTCAGTTCAAAGTACAGGGTGATTCACAAATGGTGACCAAAAATGAAACCTCGTATTCTTTGGTGAATTTTAACCTCGTATTCTTTGGTGAATTTTAAGGGGAGTTTTTCCTATAAAGTTTTTATCTAGGACGCTTCGTTAAAAAGATACAAGGTGTTAAACTTCAAAAAATATTTTTAATTTTTTTAAACACCTAATTTAAAAACTTGTAAGTGAAGTAATTTGAAATTAGGCACAGATATTTATGTAAACATTGTCCAAAATCTGAGAGATTTTCCTAAAATTTACAAGCTCCAGTGGCGGAGATACAGGGTATCGGTGGCATATTTTTCTAAATAAAATAGGACGCCACTGCTTTACAGTAACAACCATGATATATTCGGATTAGTCTTTCAATTTTCTACAAATTACTACTCTCTAATGGTTTTCGAAAAAAGCCTGATTTTTGAGTAAAACTTAAAAAACGAACTGAGAACACATTTCGATATTCGAATATAGGTAATGCTTTTTAAAATTACATAGTGGGCTGCGATAAAAACTTTGACATTCATAATTTTTAACGAAGCAAAAAAAATTCACCAAAGAATACGAGGTTTCATTTTTGGTCACCTGTATATTTAGTTATATGATATATGATATCTTTAGATATGTATATTTTCGAGAAAAACACTCATTATCTCAAAAACGAATGCTTTGAGAACAACATTTATATAAGAAAATGTTCTTTATTTTAACTAAAACAAGGCTCCTTCATTATTGACAACTTGCATACTTATTATCTACATCTGTTAGCTGAAAATGTCTTGTTGGATTTTGTGGTGCATTTGCGGTGTTCAAAGTACAGTTTCCTAGAGCCACACTTGTTTGTATATAATTTGAAATGGTCTGTGCCTACACATATGTTATGCCATACACACTAACAGAACTCGTGTAAACCAAACACATGTCTATGTAAGTGCCACAAAGTCTTGATTTATTTTTTAGGTGTATGTGTATCTGCAGCTAATTTAATAAAGGATCGGCGCTTCAAGCCTCGCCAAAATGGTTGGTTGACTAAACAGATTGAGTAAACAGTGTCTAGTCTTTAACAGCAGCTGATTCAAACAATCGAGGGTGGGTGATTATGTTTTGTTAGCAATGTGTTTAACCAGACAGTGTTGCATATTTAATATTAAGAAGTGTTTACAAATAAGTAATAATTAGAAACACCTGCAGTGTGCAAGTAGGCTGTAGATTTAGGAAAATTTTAATGAATATATAACTTGAGTGTTCTTTTTTTTTAATAAATTTGCATGCACTAGATATATGTCGACACTTACAGATAATTTTCAATGCATGAATAAAATTTGATTAAAAAATCGTGAACCAAAACATTCAATACCTAGTTAAAATTTTCGAAAATACGTTTACGTCATTATCAGTCAGTCTGTCATCAAAATGAATAATTTCTAATGATCCTGTAAAAAAGTTTAATAATGAAGTATTTAATAATATTAATAATAACTAAAGTATACACTATCTACATTTATATACGTAGTTTATTTATATATTTTTTAATTTAACTGAAATTTTATTGCGGGACTGTTAATATACTTTTTACCAGATTATACTTCAAAATTATCAAAATGAAGTCTTAATTGGGACAGAGAATTTTGTGTTTAAGGTGTTCCTTATCATTATAATAAGTTATAATAAAATATTGGAAGCATCGACTTAGTCTGTA